AGGTGTTAATGCCGATGTTATTATGTTGTTTAGCTGTCCGGGGTAATAACAGGCTGCAGAAGAATACGGACGAGCGTAAGAAATGCTGAAGATTTTTAAGTGAAATCCTAGTTCTGTCGTGTCATCACTGAAAAACACAGACATATAGGTCATACACGATTGTATTGTAAGCTGTAGTCAATTGGCAATTTCACAGTCGATTGATTGCGTTTCTAGTCGCAAAAATATAAACAATGGCTCTGGTAATATGTCGTTAGGGTTAGTACCCATGATCATATTGATCCCATCTAAAGATTCAAACCGCTTGAACTTCGGTTACCTCTTTTCACTACAACGAATTTTATCCGCCTTCCTAAAATGTGACATTACGCCCGTATTCACAAACATTACTATGAGGTCTCACAGTGCGCGTGGACGCACAGGGCGACACACGAACCAATCACAGAGCTCTATTCAACGCTGTGCGTTCGATTTGCTGCTTTACATAAACAAGCATCGTTTGTGAATACGGATGTTAGAACCGAATCTGTGCAAACGCACACCTCGCGACAGCTGTCAAGCTTGACAGATCAGTAGCTAAACTGGGCCTGCTTGTGTGGTCCGAGCGGTCATGCGCGGCATGCTCTCTGGACTTTGACCCTGCGGCCACACTTCACTATGTACGGACGACAGCACGTCAAGCTAATCACTGTGGCTTCTTATTTCCTTAGTAATAGAGGCGATTTTCTAACAAAAATGTATAGATGTGCTGCGTCTGTACCTTTACCATTGTTAGACAGCTCTTGTACTTTGCGGTTTACGTTCCTGTGGGTTTGCGTCGTTGACTTTTGTTTTCACAAGGCACAGGGTTCCGAACAAGTTGAATGTTTGATAAAACCCAGCATAGGGTTCCGTATTTTCTTAACATTTCCTTACATAAACTTAGATTGAGAATGAGCACTTTTTCAAAACTTTACGTTTAATATCTTCAGGTTAGGAAGCAATAAGATATAACTACCTAGTCGTATTCAGTAAATCCACAGTAGTCATGAGTACCTTCAAAGGCACTACTGAAGTAGGAAAACTTACAGCAGCAGAGTTTACGTGAACTTTTTGCATGAAAGCCACTTTTGTCATCTTGTATACCATTTTAGGCATTCATTCAATTGTGAGCGTTTTATATCCCCCGTGCTCAGCTAACGAGGTAAAAAGGTAAAAATGATATTGCCCTTTTAAAGCTCTTAAGTGCAAAAAGAATTTCTGACTTCAGCCCAGTATGCTGGTGTTTTTGCAACATAGCAAATGGACATACGTATTTGGTATATAGTTATTGTGGAATTCGTACAAATGTGGAGCTAGTTTTTTATTAAATTACATGGGCAATTTAGTGAATTTCAAATAACATTTGTGAAACAGCATATCAAATGAGCTGGAGAGCTTTAAAAAATATTCCAGGGTCATTTCCTCTGATTTCTAGTGGTCTTGTTAGATTCTCTCGATCCATAAGGTCCTGGGTTTGATATTAATTTCGAAAGAACCATATCAGATGTTCATGCCGCTTATGATGACGTCTGACATACTGGTTGTTGGCTGCCTTGTTACACGCGTTAAAGATCCCCCAATTTCTAATAGACTTTGTTTTCCAATAGCAACTGTAGAATAAACTAAGTAAGTGCTACACCAATTATTTACTTTTCTGTCCTCACTCGGCTCGGAACTTAGTGCTTCGTAGTAAACAATGGGTCAGCACCACACACGGCGAGGAAGTGGTCTCCCGTAAACAGGGATCTCACGCGCTATTGCTTGGGAAGAGCTAGTGTGGGCGATATGCGGCTTCGGATATAGTACACTAGACCGTGTCTGCGACTCTAGCTGTTCGGATCTTGTTTCAATAGCAGAGTCTTTGTCAAGATATCAAATATACTGTTTTTACCATGAGCAATTCAATGATTTTCATTGCTTATTTCATACCTTTAATTTTTTTTCAGCGTGCCTATATCTTTCACCCAGGGTCAATCTATCTCTCTACCATAGGGTGTTAACGTCTCTCTCATAGGAGAGAGACGTTAACATCTAACTAAAAGACGAGACAATTATGAAAAAATGTTGCTGAATAATGTAAATTAATGCAGACTCCGTTTCCCACTATTACAGTTGCAGTCTGTTAATAAATCAATCCTTGAAAGACACGTTACAAAAGTTCCTTGAAATGCTTTAAGCAGGCACTATACAATGAGTAACATTTAAGTAAATAGCAAGAGTTCAACTCAAAGAATATTTTCGTATATTTTACTCGCCTGTTTAGTCCCAAAGCGATCCCAGCCCTAGTGTTTACACAAGCCCATCGGAACTCGTTTGGTTTGCCTTCAATTTGACGGCTGCGCTGCTCCGGCTCAAAGGGCATTATAATGTGCTGGTTTATTTGTTCTCGATTGTGATGCCCTTTTACCGCCACTTACGGATTTTATCAAGCTTTTCATTTACTAAAACAACTGTTGTAGGGTATTTTACATCTGATTTTATTTAAAGCTTCGTCTCGTTTTCTACTTTAAAAATTGGATAAAGTGTCTAATAATGATTTGAAGGGTTTTGAGATAGTTTATACGACGTTATCGTAGTACATTATGCAAATAAGTACACAAAAACTCTAAAAGGGAAAATTAATACTGTACCTGCTGAAAAATATGTCAATGTTATTGTAACAAATCTATGTAAAGACTACAAAATATAATTAAAATTAAAAGAGCCTTTTAGCTTTTAGTGACTGTTTGTTACACATAAAAACCCAGTATGAAAACCACTCAATACCATCTCGTCCGCATAATAGGTTAATAAATAGTCCAGAGCCGGCGGCTGTGACGTCACACAGCGGCGTGGGAGCGGGCCCATCGCTGGCCCTCATTAGTGTGCCCAAATATGGCCACGCGGGTTTTTGTCAGGGAGCTGCTCGGGAAATGTGCTGTATAAATGCTGACTTTCACAGTATTGGTTGAGGATAGATTCTTTTCTCAGGGTATGATGGACTGTTTATTTGTTTTCATGTATGAAATGTCGTGATGGTAAATAGACGGAAGATTGTACATTTTACAGGATCAGAAACTGAAAAATGTAAGATACGTGCTAAGTAGTGAATGTCGTGATTTACGTGTAGAGTCGTGCGATGATAAATGTTAAGTAATCTTTTCGTTTTTATGAAAAGTAAGAAACAGCCCTGATATTAGACTTTTTAAGCTTTCTTTGCCTCATAACTCATAACGTCATGATTCAGTTTGACATGAAAAAATTTTTCACAGTAAACTTTTAACTTAGGCTTAGAATACTTTAACAAGGACGTAGTATAAAAATTTAAGCAATCTTGGGCTGAAAAAGGACAAGGCTGCTGCCCCATCAGTCGGCCATTAAGCTCATTAGCGGGCCCAAATATGGCGGCGGTTTTTGTCCCATTCCCGTTGCGCTTGCGGCGCGCTCGGGCACCTTATTGTGTTTACTTCTTTGGAAAACGTTGACAGTGACTTTTTATAGTTCACTGTACCCTAAGTTTAAGATGCTAGGCTTATTTTCTTGGTTGTAATAATGTAAAAGCAAGTTTTATCAATTCCTGGCAAGTGGATATGTATTACAGAATTATGTAGGTACGAGCATATGCCATGCTGACCAGAAGCAATACCGTGATTTTGAGTCCTACCGTACCATAATTACCGTACCCAAATCTAAACTTTCAGGTTGAGCTACGCTTATTTATAAAGAATCTGCAATCGACGATTAACGGATAAAATACAAAACAAAAGAATGATTTTTAGCTCGGATCCTTTGATCAGCAAGGAACCGGGGACAATTCCCTTATTAGGACAAACGATTTTAGGCCGAGATTGGGTCGATGCGTGACCGATGGCGCTCGCCGCATAACGAATTGCTCTGATTATACCTTAGCATCGGGATGTTGTAATTAATTAATCCCGACAACCTTAATTAGCCCCTTAATTGCCAACGGCGATAATTGGCCGAAGGTGTCGATTTTTAAGCGCATCGACAGCTTTTTATATTTATTTGGAAGGTTGTTTGGGATTACCCAATAAAAATGGTATGGTTATTAAATTAAAGGAAGTTTTATTTCTTACCGACGACCTTAAAGACGATGTAGACATCGAAAGGGAGCGTAGGTCACTAGCTGTCCGGGGTAATATGCTGGCCCGCAGATTTGCTCGTTGTACTGCTAACGTTAAAATCACGCTTTTCAAAGCTTATTGTCAAAGTTTTTACACGGGAGGTCTGTGGGTCAACCATACCAAGAAATCTTTAGATGTCCTACGTGTCCAATACAATAACATCTTCAGGATGTTGTTGCGGCTGCCGCGCTACTGTAGCGCATCGGGGATGTTTGCGCAACATCACACCGACGGCTTTCACGCTGTCCTCCGTAAGAAGACAGCATCTCTGATAAGCAGACTGCGTGGCAGCGGCAACAGCATTCTGAAAACGGTGGCTGACAGATACACATCACCTATGTGGAGATGTTGGGTGCGGAGGGTGATTATGTGAGAAGACACTTGTGGCATAGTCACACTCGGCGGCTTTCAAAATGCCTACAATTATTAGAAAACCAAACACTTTACTAACATTACTTTTAAGATTATAAATTGTATCCTACTAACCACTATGAACTGTAAAATTGTTTGAAATAAACGTCATTATTATTATTATATTATTATAGGCCTGTCTGTTGGTTCGCGTGCCAGACTTTAACTCCAGTGATCATGGGTTTAAAGCCCGTTAAGTTTCAAAGAAGGCATGGTAAGCACATACCAAACAGTAGCAGTATCATTAAAACCCTGAATTACATGATCAGTTTAATACTGTTCAAAAAACTTCATTAACGCCACCAAAATCTGTACCTACTTCTTGGAAATAAAACCTTCTTTGAGGACTCTACCATCATGGGCACCACAAAAGAAAATGGCTAAGTAGGCATAAACAAAACGCATTCATTAATCTGAGCTCTCCTAACATTATTTCTAACCCACACACGGCAATAGACCCGGAACGCATGTAGCTGCGCAGGTCACGGCCATCCGTCACCGTCGCGCGCAGGATCAGATGGAAAGGATCGCGGCAGCAAGCCGCCATGTTGGGAATAAACCTTCCTTTTCGAACTGGCTAGTTGAACTAATGCCGATTACTTCACCATAATAGTCAAAAGACAATAGTTTTGTACATTTACCGATGTCGGAGTTGATCAACGTTATTTCTTTCTACTAAAGATGTCTTCTTCTTTCGTGTGGTTTTTGATAAGAGTTTCACAACCTTGACAAGAGTGTCAGATTTCGTGAACTAACACAGCCTTTAACATCATGACTTATTAGCGTTTTATGCAGTGCCGTATTATCCATAAGGCACTTTAGGCCAGTGCCTAGGGGCCCACTATGACCAGGGGCCCAGCACTCCTAATTAAAAAATGAAAAAAAAAACATATGTTTAAAGAAAGATGATGTTTAAGAAAAGGTCAATTTTCAAGAAGTTTTAAACGATTTTGTATCCAAAAAAATTAGAAGGGTAAATATTTAAACATGCATCTTAATCAGTACAATATGTACATTTTTATTTTTTAGTATTTACTTATGTTAGTTTTTATAAAAATATGCAAGATTTTCCTATTCTTTATTTCATTTTTAAATGACTCCAATACTTCGTCCTGTCAAGTCTTTTCACTTGAAGGAAGGCGTATACCTTTGCGATAAATTGATGGCACCTTCATTCAATTTCGTAATGTAGACAGTAAAAATTTCCAAATTGCATTGTCGTGGTATGAAAAAGGGGGGGCCCGAAACGAGCTGTGCCTAGGGGCCCCGAGATGGTTAATCCGGCCCTGGTTTTATGCTCTCAAAAGTAATACCATTACATTTCAAATCTCAAATTAAATAATCATACCGTTACATTTCAAATCTCAAATTTAATAACATTATTTAAAAAATATAAAGGTAATTAAGAATTTTTGTGTGCGTTAATCCCCATTTTAATATGGCAACATTCTAATAAGCGCCGTAAACCATGTCAAGATCAAGAACTCCCCGCTATCCTGGTTCGGATCTAATTCCTGCGCGCGCCTGTACAGTCCGCCACAATATACATTTGCTGAGATGTTCCTTACCACTACCCAGGTGTCGATCGATAAAATATTTAATTACCTGAAAATTAAAAAAAAATTAAGTTAACATATCAAAGGCAGGCTTTAGATGAAATAGGTAGAAACGCACGAGAAAATGCAGAGCGCCAGAAGCAAAATATTCCTAAAAGTCTGCATACAACTCTTTCGCAGACGTCATAAAATAAATATCTACCTACTATCCGTTGGCGATAAGTTTGCCGCTGGCGATATGACTCGAAGGGAAGCGTCTATAAATATAGCAAACTGTATTGAAAATATTTTTTATTTATTAATATTGATAAAAATTGTGTATTTGCGTAAAATAAGACACATTAATTGCGTTTAATCCCGGTTGGGGAAGGGACGTACATTCCACGGACTGGCAAACTTAGCGCGAACGGGTAGTACCTATATTCAAAATGTTAGATTGTTGAATAGAAATGAGACTATTTTTGTGTGGCAATCCTTAAGTTTCCTCAGAAGAAAATACCAAAAGGGTCCATTTCATATTTAAATCCACTTTTGTGGTCGAGTGTCCTGACCGCGGTCGGCGGGCACTCGTGATGGATCGCTCGGCCCGTACCGCCAGGAATTCACATTTGTAGCTCTCACATGGATTGGATGGCTAGTATGTTACTTGTTACTAGTTCTAAGGTTCTCTGAATTACGAGTACCTACCTACCTACCTACTAGGAGTGTGGAGGCATTTCACAAGTTAACAGACGTGATTTCAGTCTGCAAAATGTTTAGTATAGTTTTAAATCTCATTAATTACAGAAAGAAATTATAATTTGCCAGAAGTTGGAAATCATTTCACTTTCCGGTAAAAATATACTATAAAAAGCTTCTTACGAGTGCAAGCTTCCTTCAGCATATTAATATTATTTTTCTTAATAATTACTCTCAAGGCCTAATTTACAGTGCTGAAAATACCAAATATGAAACTACGAGAAAAATTCGACGCTTTCGCTAGGTACAAAGGACTGAGGCTGCTGCAATTGCCGTTTGATTTACGTGCTTGGGCGCATACCGAGGATCGTTCGCATTTCTGCAATCCATCCAAGGCAATCGCTTTAGTGTTCCTATAACTCTACACGTTTGACAGTACTTATTGAGAGATGATGGTAAATAATAGGTAGGTACTCGTACAATCAAATTAATAGAATAAGTCATAATTTTAGGTAACATATTGTACCTAGGTACTAACATAGATCAGAAATCAAACCAAATTATTTAAAATTTAGTTATTTAATAAATAGTATAAGCATTATGACCTAGTTGAGATTTAACGGCTAATTTGATTCCACAGACCATAATCGTGTACGAAGCTGCAGGTAAACCTACTACTTCATAATCGAAGACCGAATTATTTTTATGGCTATCCTCGTATCGAAATAGGTTCTTTGGCCATCAATGTCCCATACAACAGTTGACAGCGATATTCACCTGATAGTTTAAGGCTTCGGCAAATGTTAACAAGGCACAAATCGTCAGCCGACCACACAGGCGCGCGCGCAGCAAAAACGCTCGAATAGACAAACCTATTGTCCAACAGCACTTCATTTTACACGCGTCGCTTTTCAAAAGCGACGGCGCGTTGCAAATGGACAAAAGAGCTTTCAGGGCTGCTCCTTGACAATACTTGAATATAAAACGTAACGAGTTATTTATAGAGCTTTATGGAAACACAAGTTTCGGCGCGAAGCAATATTCCCATGAAATTAAAAATTTCCCACTTTCCGCCCTTTGGAGGCGATATCCAGAAATAAAAAATAAAAACTGAAAATCGACATTAACAACCGATTCTGACTGAAATGCCTTACTTATACAATGGTAGGCACAAAAATTTTAGATATACCTATACCTACGATATACCTACTAGAGACAAAGCAGAAAAGTATGTTTGACATAGTTATATTCTACCTGTAAAGAAGCAACCCTATTTCGCGGAGGTGCGCACACGCATTGTGCAACCGCCGGGGGCGCCGGCGCCGGCCGGCAAGGGACGCGTTGTCAACGAATGCTAAGGTTGCAGAACTGACAGGTTCTTTGAATCTCACTTAAGCCATCGATTTATTTTTGTCGAAGAATGTCCTATGTGTCCTATTTTGTGACTGTAAACTAAATTTCGTTTCGTTTCGTTTCAGCCAAATGACGTCCAGTGCTGGACAAAGGCCTCCCCCAAGGTTTTCCATAATGAACGGTCCTGCGCTGCCCGCATCCAGGCTCTAAATACATAGTTTTAAGTTACTATTTGCCCTAATTATTAATAAGTTATTTATAGCGAAGATGATTAACGTTGACGACAACTTAACTTTAATTTTATTCTCCTTGATAGTGACATCATCGCCAAAATATTTGAACATTATATTGTAGGCTTTTCTTTAAACAAATATACCTACTACCGCCACTGATGTGAAACTGCAACGTAGGTACTATTTAGTACCTAAGGCTGTTACTTTGCCCGGGGACAATATAACCCAACTTTGCCCGGAATCAAGTGTTGCAATGGTCGGCGCCTTTGAACGGGCCGATTTGCGACAAAGAAGCTCGCAGGTTGTTATAACATTCGGGACGAACAACAAACCACGATATGTTCTTTGACTCGTATTGTTCAATTGAGTGTGACGGACCATTTCATACGAATGAGGCATGCATTTTTTATTTTGTTTTTATAATTGGGAACGCAGTCGATAGAGCATTTATTGTTCATAAATCGAGTTCTTAACATTTCATGTGTGCGAGTTTAATCATATCGAACCCATCCTTAATTCTTTATGATATAGATTTAATGCTTGGAGGCAATGTCCTAGATTAAATAACAAGCGATTTCTTCTTTGTCCGAGAAATTACTTCAAGTGACAATTATTTATTTCGAAATATTTCAACACAAATCCCAACAAATAAACTTCAACGCCCCAACACCAAACACAAGTACACATTATTAAACTACTCGTAGGTACACCTAGCAATAGAGGCTAAAATTTATTTATTTATTTATTATTCATTATTGAGCAATTACATATTTGATCCAAATAGCGTCCTAAATCCTCTTTAGGTTTGTCTAGACGCTATTGTTCTCTATACAAATAAAAACAAACGTTTTAGTATAAGCATTCACAACACTTTCAAATATTATACAAAACATTATTTTAGCGAGTGCGCACTACGATGACGAAAGACTCGACGTTCGATCGCGATCGCAGACCGGTTGCAAAAAGTCTACCCATTTTCATTTCATGGTTTTCATCAGCAAATTAAGTTACCAACTCGACTAACAGCCAGCGTGACCAATTCATACTCAAACTGTACACAGTTAAATTAAATTTCGTTTTTCGTTAGTGTTTTGTTTAAACAAGCCCACGACCGTCTTTTTAGAGCGCGGCCGGTCACATGAAATATGCGTACGGTTACTTGATTAGGTGTTTGTTAAACAAACGCAACTGATTTGTTTTGTAATATTCATTTGTAATCATGGCAGACAACAAAGTTTTCCGAGAATCTATTGGAAAGCTTTCAGATTTTAATCAATGTTTTCAGAGGGATTTACATGCTATAGGGTTCATTGTCAGTCACTGGACACTAACAGTCATGTTGTTGATTTATTGCACTGAAGCAGAGATATTTTGTCACGTTCAGTACGTACTGGACTGATGGAGATAAAAAACAATCAGTTGCAATGTTATCGTCTTCAACAGGGTGCTTAATGTGTGTTATGTCCACTGTAAATTAATCCTAAATACGTTTTACCCAGCTCCAAGTCCATATAAATAAAATAAAATAAGATACCCTTATCCACAGCATCACTATTTGAGCGGTGCCTCAAAGGGCCGTCGCGGTATCGCTCGTAAACGCGCCACTTTATGGTGCCCATGCCCTGACCTTCGATTTGTCGTCAGATTACACCCATTCAATGAGGTCTTGTGACTGTGATTTCAAGAAAATACCTAAAAAGGGAGCCGTAAAAAGCCGATCGGAATCTCGAGGCATTAATGAATGAGCTTTGGGTCAAATTAATAAATTTCTTGACAAATAAAGATTCGTAAAATGATTGAAATTCGTTTCTTTCGGAAGTAGATAATAAAATATTAAAAGCTTCTGATAATAAAATAACAAAGTCGATAGCACCAACCTACAATAACAAGATAAGTTAGTTATTATGAGGTTAGGCTTCGGTATTATTATGATAAATAATTATCAGTAACGTATCAAACAACGAAAAAACATTACAGATGAAGACGATTAAAATTTAGAGATCAATTAACACGTCGTAATACAAATTAACACACAAATAATAGGGTGGCATCAAATGATAGACAGCTTTATTTTTTATCTTTCCCACGCCTTCTTCACATCAGGGTTGTCAGAAAGTTTTCTGAAAGAAAAACATAACCCTCCTTCTGGCTTCATCCTTCATTTACCAGTAACTTACATTATAATTATGTTTTTTTTACTAAGAGCTGAGGTGGGGGCTGCATCAGGTTACTTGTGATTCCTAATCAAAAGGCAATGTTTGTGCTAGAATCAAAGGCTGAGTTGCACCACCTTACTTTAACCGTAACTATAACAATAACCGGTGTTTTTTTTGTATGGAGTTTGACAGATTTTTGACGTTTGTTAAAGTTAATGTAAGATGGTACAACTCAGTCTAAGGCTGAGTTGCACTATCTAACTTTGACCTTAACTTTGACTTTATCCGGCGTTTTTTGTATGGAGTTTGACAGATGTTTGGAGATGGCGCAACCCAGCCTAAGTTGATAGATTGTGTTGCAATGTGATGTTCCTATTTTTCATGTATTGGATACTCAAGTGCTGTAAGTAATAAATAACACTTTTGATTTGGGTATTGTTTTCACTACGTTTTACATACGTTCTCGTTACCGCTCGTTACCGCCTCCGTATTAGGCGCCGGCGCAGGTGTTAGATAATAGCATTTAGAATAAGTACTTGATATTGTAATTACTATTTGTTTGTATGTACACTAATTAATTAACTATCTTTATTCTTAAATGATTTGGTTACCATTCTCATAATTTAATTGTATCATTACTTAATGATTGTTTATTATTNTTTAAAGGAGAACAATCCTGTCATACATGATTTTTGCGAAACTTTAACCGTTTACGCAGCGTCAGCTCTCAAAAGGAAAAAAAACACTGATTTGAAACATTCTTCATTGGTGCTCCGCTCCTATTGGTCTTAGCGTGATGATATATAGCCTAAAGCCTTCAGGAACTAACGGGCTATCCAACACAAAAAGAATTATTCAAATCGGTCCAGTAGTTCCTGAGATTAGCGCGTTCAACCAAACAAACAAACAAACAAACAAACAAACAAACTCTTCAGCTTTATAATATTAGTATAGATGTAATAAATAATTCCTCCTACTCAGTTATCGGGTTTTTTTACTATAATGATAAGTTCCAATATTTCAAGATATGATTTAGAAAATGACGAGTAAGTAACTAAGTAGGTGATAAGTGTTATGGATATTTACAACACCAACTAGAAGCTTTATTAATTTTGGAATAGCTAGCTGTGTGTATTGTGAACTCACTCATAAAACTAATTTATTAATGCCCGTTTTCACCATCAATCCCTAATTTTTAAGATTTTTATGTAACAGGAAGTTTTCATAGGGTCACTTAAAAATTAATGATTGATGGTGAAAACGGGCATAAGAGTCGTATAGTAAGTATTTTTTTTCCTGTAACATTTTCTCGGTGAACATTTTGGTAATAGAAACGTCGTCGTACATTGTTCATTATCTCGAGGAATCTCTTTCAGCAACAACTGCCTTTCATTGAAATCTGTCAGCCTAAAATGTTTTCTTCCCCTTTGCAATAATGCTCATACAAAGTAATTTGTCAATTTGTATGTCACCCACGTGTATGTTTGTGGAATGTGGAACGTGACATGCGAGTTTTAATTGCGCCAATATATCATAAATTGAAGTAGGTGCGAGTAAACTCCCTCAACAAATAAGTACCTATAGTCCAGTCAATAAAGCATTATAGATGGAAATCCGTGGAACACAATTTTTGTCTTCGGGACTTTATTTAGACTAGTTAGGAGGTGAACATAGCAAAAGTCCCCGCCCTTAGCCCTTGAGCCGGCGGAGAGAGGGGGGTTTAAAGGTACCACTTTTCGGCTTTTCGCTTAATCCTCGGAAACTATGCGTCCTAGTGACATGACTACTATGAACCAAAAAAAGCTTATCCAATTTGCTACAGGTGAGATAGTCAAGTTTTTCTATATCTTGTATAGTTTTCGCGGCATCTGCTCTAAAAGGTCTGTAATATTGGAAATTTTATATTTGTCTTACATGTTTCCATCAGGAGAAAATCGACTAAATCAACATTGAGCTAATATTCTAGACGTGCCGGAGCATGTTAAGCCTAGTTCCAGGGAGGGGACTGCACCGTGCGTATATTTAGACGAACCAATTGGAGCCACTTTTGACTCCTCATCACTCAAAAAGTACTGTGCATTAACACTTCAAATTTGGCTCATGTGTTGAGACTTGCAAGATAAACATCAGTTTCAAATTTCATAAATATACCTCAAACGGTTCTTTAGGTACTGACGTCTAAAAATCTACATGGCTGACCGATAAGACCAAATTCTAACCACTTCCAGATGACCTTGAAGGTTCAAATTTGGCATCCAGATAGGTAGATGTGTAAATACAACGGAACAAATAAAAAAACCCGTAAATTTTAACATTTCACAGGTGATAGATAGATTTTAGTGTCCTAAATGTCGATTTTGGAACGTCAATACCTAAATAACCGTTTGAGGTATATTTATGAAATTTGAATCTGATATTTATCTTGCAAGTCTCAACACATGAGCCTAATTTGAAGTGTTAATGCACAGTGCTTTTTGAGTGATGAGGAGTCAAAAGTGGCTCCAATAAGTTCGTCTAAATATACGCACGATGCAGTCTTCTCCCTGGAACTAGGCTTAACATGCTCCCGCATGTGTATAATGTTTGTTCAATGTTGATTTAGTCGATTTTCTCCTTATGGGGACATGTAAGACAAAATTAAAATTTCCAATATTACAGACCTTCTAGAGCAGATGCCGCGAAAACTATACAAGATATAGAAAAACTTGACTGTCTCACCTGTAGCAAAATGAATAAGCTTTTTTTGGTTCCTAGTAGCCATGTCACTAGGACGCATAGTTTCCGAGGATTAAGCGAAAAACCGAAAAGTGGTACCTTTAAACCCCCCTCTCCCCGCCGGCTCAAGGGCTAAGGGCGGGGACTTTTGCTATGCTCACCTCCTAATTAGTCTAAATAAAGTCCCGAGGTCAGAAATTGTGGACTGGACTACTATGTTTGATTCGGTAATGAGTTTAAATACAGAACCGCAGACAAACTGTTTGCAGGATTAAGTTACACGTTTGCTGTAACTGCTAAAGTGCTAACCTACATTCGTTACGACGAGTAGGTTAGGTTCACTAACAGAACTTTTCTTCATGAAATGGTAACTTTTTTTATTAACTAAGGCAGGGTTGCACCATCTTACTTCAACTTTGACCAACGTCAAAATTCTGTCAAACTTCATACATGACAAAAAACACCGATATCGTTAAAGTTACGGTCAAAGTTAGGTGCAACTCAGCCTAAGTTAATCAAGTGTTCAGTGTGCCTACCATGAGTTTACGTTAGGTGAGCTCGCTAGCGAATACGTCAAAAAATTCTATGAAGATTTTATTTCTTGAAAGTGGCCGCTAGGGGCGCTGCACAATATGTCATACATTTAAATGTCATTTTTTTACGCAGTCGCTAGCGAGCTCACCTAACGTAAACTCATGGTAGGCACACTGTACCTAATGATGTCAATAATAGAATTTTCCATAGTGACCGGTTGATAGCGGCCTCCGTCGGTCCACTTTGTGTCATTACGGAAATCATTGGGGGAAGCCTACGTTCAGCAGAGGACATCCTGTGGCTAAATTGATGATAATGATAATGATGAATTGAATTTTCAGGTACTTCTTGGTGTTCAAGCTGTTGTTATGCTTCATCATACCGTTCCTGATCCCTATAGTCTTCTGGAACGAAACTCCATCAGTGGCGCTGATCTCCCAAGCGCTCCGGTACATGATGAGCCTAAACTTCACGTGGTCTGTAAACAGCTTCGCCCATTTGTGGGGCAACAAGCCATACGACCGGTAAGTTGGTTCTTTTGTGTCCAATTTAAAAATAGAATCTATTTATAGAATGGCAGCCTAAATAAAAATTTCTAATTACGGAAAATTATTTTAAACCGATTCTTAATAACACTTAGCACTTTAGCAGCTTCGTGTAAGATTAATTAATTAATATAAAAGAATGGCGAGATCGGAAAAAATTGCGGCGTAAACTTTTATTTAGGAAAATTATTCATACTTAATTTAACTAATTATGTAGGAAGTACCTACCTACCTGTAACAATTCAATATGGTTTGACTTACATAACTAAGTAGGATAAGTTTCTTTATCGATTTAATAACTGTGATCGCAGTATGATGATTAAGAGTGTGATCTACACTATGGTTCCCAGTTATTGTAGGCACTTCGTGACACGTGTATCCTACCTTCCTTACTTCGAGACCTTGATGTATGTGTAACGTACCAGACATTAATCATTTTAACTAATGAACCACTAGCATTTCCAAATGAAACACGAATTACTATTCCAGGAACATAATGCCCAGTGAAAACTGGGGCGTGTCGATTGTGGCCATAGGGGAAGGCTGGCATAACTATCACCACACGTTCCCCTGGGACTACAAGGCGGCTGAACTGGGCATGCCCTACAACTTGACCACGACTGTATTGGACAAGTTCGCCAGTATCGGCTGGGCATACGACTTGAAGGCTGCGTCACCAACACTCGTGGAAACCGTCGCGAGGAACAGGGGAGATCCACACCATCGCAAATCTCATCACCATTAGTTTAAAACTTTATTCAGACAGGTTTAGATATAGGTTCTCGAATACATACTCGTAGGTATTGTTATCTAAGATTAGACTTATTTGTATGATATTATATTGTTTTTACTTTTGGTGTGATTATTATTAACTATTTTATGAATTCCTCTTCTGTATAAACAACCTAGGTACCTACCATAATTATAACATTTGTCACAAGTTTACCTTTTTCGCGATCGCTTAGATAAGTAGATCCTACTGAATACCTAGGTGAATAACGATTCATTATTTATCTCAAAGCACTTTTTGACCTAATTTAGGGAAACGAAACACGAAAATCTGACACGAATAAAGCACCAACCATGTCTAAAGAGCCAGGTCCAAAGAGTTAGGTAGATACGATCCGATTGTTGTACAACCGCATTCCCTCTTTATTTTACCCTTTTCACATCCACTCACTGTTATTGCTACCCAGACGGGGTACTCCGTTGTTCCGGGAAGATCTCCACAATTGAAATGATCCATTCATCAGGCAGGTAATCGTCCCGTCCAGTGACCGCAAGTTAATCGCAATAATCGAATCCACAAAGGGTTTTGGGCGCATATATTGCCATTGATCAGGGGATTTATTTGACGGTTTAAAAGCGGTGTATTCGTTACTTTAGATCAGCTGGATTGGCTTTGTTGGAATGATCACGTTGCAATTAAAACAGCAGGAGAAAGGGAGAAAGCAGACCCAAAACCTGTTTGATATACCTAAGAATCGTCGAGTTGGGTCTCAGGTTCGAATCCTGTTTGAGTGAATAAATAAAACACACAGTACAGTACAGTCACAGGTACGAATCTTGATTGAGTGCATATTAAAACACACTACCCGTCTTTGCACTGCACAGTCGAGTAGCTAAACAGTTGACAAAACCCGTGCATTGCGATCATAATACAGTGACTGTAATGCTAAAAAGATTATTAGGTATATACTTAAATGAAAATCTATTTACAGTTTACGATGATTTTGATTTCCAAGACTGAGCGGATTATCATAGCTATCGTAGAGCGCTATTATCGCCATAATAGCTAGAAGGCTAATTAATACATCGCCTAGCTGACAGCCTGGGGTTAGGCCAGCATTGCTTGTATTGTCGAGCTTATCTCCGCTCGAAGATAGCTAGAATACAATCACGTGCTTTATTGAGTCCACCTTATTGATAAGCTGGAATTATGTAGGTTATGTAGTCAATATTGCTGAGCGAAAATAAAGATGAATAGTGTAAAGAATAAAGATGAATTTTGTGTTAGACAGAAAAAATAACTGGTAGAGAATGCCATACGGCATTAGCTTTATCTTTTGTACTGAAATGCAATGCAGTTTTTATAAAGAATTTAAACATAACAGTGCCTAGTTCGACTAGGAGCGTGGACCCCGTACGTAATGTAATCGCGAGTTTATTCAATGCTAAAGTTCCATTGGTTTCAGCTACAAACACATTACATTTGTGTAGTCGTTCAAACAGAAGCCTCAAAGCGCGAGTTCTGAGAAGTTACCGATAAGAACTTCGCTCCGCCACTCCACTCCCTACAACTAACTTTGAAAGCCTCTTTGTACTGGTTTACCTAGTATGCAACAAACAACAAGGTGTACTAAGTATGAGATGACGTAATTATTATTATCTATGACTTTTATTTCTCTCTTTAGAGCAAAGAACCAGATAGAGGTTTTTGCTGGATGAAGTGACCGCGGAATTGGCATTAAGTTTATTAAAACAATTACTTTTACAAGCCATTTTTTATTTTAAAATGTTATTCACACCATCTACGCCTTATGTTTACAGATCAAATATTTGTAGATACCTAGAGAACCTAAACTAAAGGTTGCCTTTTTTTTAAATCAACATTACGAGACCATCTCAGAAAGCGAAGAAGCACCTAGAAATAATTTAACAACCATGTTGCTAGTCAAAATGCGGTAATTAGGATAGGCTTTTTGTTTATGGCCTCCAAATTATAATAGTAATACTAATAATCCTGGTATGCTTATAGTGCAGCAACTAGGTATCATAAATACATTACAGACACATAATAATATCTTTTACAACACTAAAGGTTCTCACAAAATTTTACACAAGAGATATTTTTATTTTTAAAACGAATATACATGGCCTTTTATTTTAAAAACTATAAAACTTAAAACAAATTTGCGTTTTATAAATATATGATAAATAAATTTTGAATCTTTAAAGTATCATATTAGGTGTTAAAGTATGAAAATTCAGTTTTAAAGAATTTAACGAAAACTCATTTTTCCATATATTATAAATATTTTTGCCATTTTTTTAAGGGACGATAAATCTTAGTTTTGTGAAATTTCGTGGGTAGATTGAGACAACAGTAAGCTAAATTAATACCTGTAGATGAATTATTTAGTTTTTGAAGATTTATTTCTAGTGAAAAACACTAATAAGGATATTTTCCTTGAAATTAAGTTTCAAACAATAAAATAAGAATGGGCAATGGACATAGCTAGGTACTTATTATATTAAAGGAATTATAATGAATATTGAAGAAAAAAACTGCAATTTCATACTTTAACCCCTATAACAAATCACCTATGTAATGATGTGAAGAAGTTTACAATTAAAAATTAAATTACTAATATACCTACCTATACAACATAAAAAGTTTCATGCTCTCCAATGAAAAAAACTCAATTCTGAAATACACAATAATTATTATGTATTGGGATTCAAAATTACTGGCAGTGATCTGCACATACTTCCAACATACTTGGAATTTTAATTTTCATCTCTTTTGCCTTCAAATTATCTTTATCAGTCATAAAAAAATCTCATCCAAAATTACTTCTAATGGAGGTATGAGCTCTTTGTCTTATTTATACAATAAATGATGATCATTATAATAATTTATTTATTACTGTCCACATTATAGCAAAAAAGAGCAAGTGTCTATACAAGTCAATATAGACATTATATCTGCATCAACACACCAAATCAGTGTAAATATCTGTTGACCTTTAAGACATCTTACAAACATAACGCCTATCATTAAAAATATGGAATTTAAAATTATATCTCACAAGTCAGTCTTCAATTGCCAAGATATTCCTTTTTGGTTTTAAATTATTGACTAGAGCAAATGATTCAAAATCAGCAGTGTCGTCAGTGTTGACCTTGGCTTCCTTGACAGGCCGTGAGTTCTCCTCCTTAGATTTCCGTTTCAGACTGACAACTTTATTTGAATAAACACCATCATTGGCATTGTCTTTGTCACTATTGGACACCTTCCTTTTCTTTGTTTTTGTGATTACAAAGTCTAAATCAGAAGAATCATCATCAAACCCAGCATAAATAGGCACTGAACGACCACTACGAGTGGACCTAAGAGGCTGAACCCTTGTGGTTTCCTCTATTATTTGGATTGGTGGTGGCCAGCTAGCGAAGGTAGCAGACTGTCGGGCTTGGCGATAGCTGTTTATTGACATTAGTTTTATATAGACTGCTAAAGTTCTGGCTTTTTCTGCCTGAGTCAAAGTGTTTGGTAGCAGACTCCAGGGCATGCGTCTGTCTTTAACATTCAAATACCGCCTTTTCATGGAATTCTTCGGAGGACTGTCTCTAGGATTCTCCTCTGCCTGAATGAGTAAAATAAATGATATTATTTAAAATAATCCCTACAACAGAAGAGGTTGACAATTAAATCTCTATTACCTTTTGCCTTAGCAGTTCATCCTCTTTAGCCGAGTCTTTAGAGTTCTTCAAAGCTTTTAAGAGATCAAGCATCTCTTCTTTGCTGAGATTTTCTTCATTCAAGCCAAACTCTAGAAAATAAAAAATTTGCATACGAGTAAATTAATTATTGATATTAGTTGTTAAAGTACCGTTAAATGGTCACTGTAAATATTCTCAATTTCTTTGTACCCACCAGTTAATTGATTTTTTATATACGTTTCTGTGTCGCAGCTATCATCAGACGATAGGGTAGGGTCGGGTTCCATTATTTCGACAAATATAAAAGTAAAAACACGATATAACTCTATTAATCCTATTCACATTACTTTAGACGAGAAAGGCGATCAATTTAACAGTAAAACAACAATATTGAGATAATTTTAAAATGAAAACAAAACATTTATTATTTATTGACGAAATCATTGACAATGACAGTGACAAGAAAAAAAACAGATATAAACGTCAATATTAAATAGTGCGTCCAGCATTTAGGTATAGTTTATACATTCAATTGTATAACTTTTTGTTGTGAATAAATTAATGAATAATTGCAGAAAAAAAGACAATATTTTGAAAATGTTACAAAATCCTTACGATTTTAAAATTAAGGTTGTATGAAATGTAATTTTATCCGATATTGAAATATTGTCCTCTAATCTGTGGATCATTCACTCACTCACTCATTAAAAAAGTATTGAATTGAAACCAGTTCTTCATACATTCATTCATTCGTTCAGCGATNCAGTTCTCAAAACATGCCTTGCGAGCAGTGTGATACAATTTATTTATTTTGTAAAAAACAATAAAATAAATTAAACAGTTAGTTTCACCACGTTTAACATACAATGGGTTCAGTATAATACGATTGTCCAATATGGAAGAAGAACTTCGGTGTTTTGTTTGTAAGGAATTCTACAAGGAACCAGTGCTGCTGCCCTGTGGTCATGCTTTATGTCGTATTTGTGCGGTGAGCCTCCAGTGCCATGTCCATGAGGCGGATAATTCGGCAGCGTCAACAGATTACCATGAGGCAGACAAGGCCTCTGTGTCCAGTGAAACTGACAGCGGTGTGGTATGTGGATCAAGGCCTAACAGTTACGCGGGAACCCCGGCCGCGCCTGTGTATCCGTCCGCTGCGTTTAGCTTGACTTGTCCCCTGTGCAGCAAGTTGGTTTATTTAGATGACAATGGGGCTGAGGGGCTCCCGCCGTTTCGCGTTATGCGGACGATTGTGGAGCGGTTTGGGGGTGTTACTGGTGCGCCACCAGCTGAAGAAGCGTGTCAGATGTGTGAAGGTGAAAAGAGAGCAGCTGTGGTACGATGCGAGCAGTGCTCTGTTCGCTACTGCGCCGGCTGCCGAGACGCCTGGCATCCCACGCGTGGGCCACTCGCTCAACACGAACTAAGAGCACTTGGAACCACCTGTAGTGACCATGGATCTTCCCCAGTATTGTATTGTAACACTTGCCTAGTCCCTATTTGTCAACGTTGCCTTGCTGAGAGACACTCAACTCATGAAACACAACAATTATCTAGTGCTGCTAGAGCCAATAAGGTATGCTATGATCCACAGCTTGTCTCAATAATTTAATTGATTCAAGATACACTCTAATTGTTACTGATTTCAGACTGAATTATCACAATCACTGCAGCAACTGTCAGAGCAAGCCAAAGCTATGACTGAATACATCCAGCTAGTCAAAGGTTCAGGAGAAAAAATTAATGTAAGTTACAAACCCTGAAACACAAACTTTTGGTGGATCTCCATTCGTACATCTTCTATTTTGTAGACCAATATTATTTTTTACACTAAGGTGTATCCTTTTGTTTCCTGCACTCTATAGCTTTTAATTGTTACAGGAATCATGTGAAGAATTAGAAAGGCAAATAGATAGTGCTTGTGCAGAAGTGACTCGTGCCATAGAGCTACGTCGCGATGAGCTGATTAGAGCTGCACGGAACACCCGTTCCCAAGCTGTGGCTAACATGCGCTCGTTGACTTCTCAGGCAGCTCAGAAACTTAGAGAAGCTACTGCCCTTTTACACTTCTCAATAGAGGCTCTCAAGGAAGCTGATCATGCAGCATTCTTACAGGTACTATTCAATTGTTTATTAACCCATCTTAATAATTGTAAAGGGACACCACCAACCATTATGGAGTAATCTCAACAGATTACTCCACCTTTACAATTAGTTAACACAAAGTTACAATTTAACTTGTTTACAAAACTATTCATGAATTAAAATTAGAGAAATGGTTTCTTTGAAACATTGTTAAGTAGTGTTAACTACCTTTTATTAACATTTTGGTGTACTAATATTCTAAATATTTTGGCCAAAATTTGTTTGGTCCTGGGACTATAAATTTATAGAGCAAAGAGTGTATTTATCAAATAAATAATAGAAGATAAAAACAAAGCACTTATAAAGATTAGTCAACCACTAAATGGGCGTCAGCTATTGTATTACTGATAAGTAGGCCATTCTGATACTAAATCTGTCTGTAGGTATGATATTGAGTAAACATTGATATAGGTATTTTATCAAGTAGGTATGAATGAGGTAATACGTAATACTGATAAATCAAATACAAATGCAGTTTGATAGTACTTTAGCCTCAATAGATAGTATTAGTGTATTATTTTATCAACTAAAGTAATGTCTATGCTATCAAATTCAAACACTAATTATATCAAACTGCTTCTAATTGGAAAATCACAGGAAATTCAATTATTTTTATTCTAATAGTAGGTATTGTTTACCTAGTAAGCTACATGTATAAAGTAAAATCCTTTTAACTAATGTAAATATTTATACTCATTATTATAAACAACCTTCCCTGCCACTTTAGCAATGTTAATGCACACTTACATTATGCTTTTAACATTGCAATTGTTAACAGTTAAATGTATAAATTAAAAAAATACTTTTTTAGTTTAGACAGATACGAGGGCGGCACTGAAATTTTCGGGAATCAAGGAAGTGAAACAACATTACTATTTAAAAATGTATTTATTGCTTTTTAAAGTATTCTCCGCGAAATTTGACTNTCACTGATTCGACGTCCTGAGAGACTAAGAGATTACGTCTGTATTACTGAAACATTTCCAAACAATTTCGCAGACGCTATGAAAAGGGACGATCGCGAAGAATGGCAAAGGGCAATGGATAGCGAATTGAAATCCTTCGAAGACCTGAACGCTTGGACACCGTGTGCACTGCCAAAAGGACGAAAAGCACTTCCATGCAAATGGGTTTTACGGATCAAAAGAAATCCAGATGGCTCGGTCGACAAATACAAGGCTCGACTTGTCGTAAAAGGATACAGACAAAGGAAAGGAGTAGACTATGACCAAACCTTCAGTCCTGTGGCACGCCTGGCTACTGTACAAGCACTACCTCGTCCGTCATATGCAGTTCTACGCCAGGCGCTAGGATTGTGTACCTACTATGTAAATGTTTAGGGAAAGTGTTGGAGTTGATAGACTTAGAAACTCCTTACAAAAGTAAACATAGACATAGATAGTGACAATCTTGTGAAGGAAAAAACTTCTGTCAGTTGAAAAAGTGTCAAGTATAAACAAGAATAGAAAGAAACTGTGATTCCGTTTAAAATCTAAAACATCCGCGAAATTAACTAGAATTAATAAAAGTGTGTTAGTATATTATTCGTAACTGCATGCGCTCTGCGTTTCAAAGATCAGAGGACTGTGCTGGTAAGATCCTTGAATCACATCATCACTGAGCTTGACACGTCCACGTTGAAATTCAGAAAACCAGCGATAAATTGTGGTTTTGGATGGGGCTTCATTACCAAATGCAGAAATCATCCGGTCAACACACTGTTTTTGTGTTAAACCACTCCGAAAGTCATAATAAATCATCGCTCTTGAATTTTCTCGAGTCAATTCCATTTTCTCAACGACTAAACAAGTTTCACAAGACCTTGTGATAAGACCGAGAATCTTTTTTTAAATAAATAAATGGTATTCGATGCTTAAAACCAAGGAGTTTGCAATTAAAAATATTTTAATATGATAGGAACAGTGGAAATATTCCATTCCCGATACTTTTAGTGCAGCCCTCGTATAGCAGCGGTTCCCGAAAGGTGGTCCGCGGAACCCTGGGGTTCCGTGGAAAGGCCGCAAGGGTTCCGTAAAAAATATTATCCCACGTTTCGTGACCGACGTTGTTCGCGCGCACCGACTTGTTTTCAAATACTTGCATAAAAACTTTATAGTTTTTCATTTAAATTTCCATTTATCAAAGTAGGGTTCCGCTAGGAAAAGTATAATCAATTAGGGTTCCTTGGCAAAAAAAATTGGGAAACCATGAGATACATATATAATATATTAGGGTGGTCCTTATTTTTCGACTTTTGAATTATCCCCGGGGCACTTTCTCATTCGATTATATACCTCTAAATATGAAATTAGCTTTTTTTGTTTTTTTTTTAGTTAAGATTTAGAGGTCGCTACCAGCTGTCAAAATATTTACAAAAGCTTTGAAAATCTTAAATCATGGTTTCATAAATATTTTATTTAAGTGTTTATATCACATTTTACGTACAAATGAACATCGCATAGATAGAATAGACAATCGCTTCTTGTCCCCTTCTCCCCTCAACCCCTCTTCTATACCGACCATGGTACCGACGCGTCGAGATACTAACAAGTAAACTCTTATATCTTAAAAATAATTGATTCAAATATGTACATTGTACATAATATCTTAGTTCACAGCAACAACAATAATTTTGTAATATTTTTATTTGGCTTTGGCTTTAAAAATAAATGAATCTAACAAATACAGATTTAGTTTTTACTTAAAATTCAAACCTTGGTAGCGACCCCTAAATGTCTTTTAAAAATTAAAAAAAAATAATGAAAGACTTTCATATGGTATATATTCAAATTACGTGGTGCCCCGCAAAATATAAGAAAAAAAATTGTTTTCCTAGGAATAAGGACCACCCTAATATATATAGAACCTTTACTACGTACGCACGGTGCGACTATGAACTTTATGTCGAAGACGGAAGAGCTACTAACACTGTCCATTGTATTAATTTAGGTAGGGAACATACTGTCGACGCGAGCGCAAGAGACCGCGTCGGGGCTCTGCTCGAGTCTCAGCCCGCGCTAACGTTCGACATAGAGCCCGCACTGCGAACGTTGCAGACTATAATGAACTTTATGTAGAAGCCACAAGAGCTACTAACACAGTCCATTGTATTAATTTAGGTAGAGAACATACTTTCAACGCATGCGCAAGAGACTGCCTCAGGGCTCTGCTCGAGTCTCAGCCCGCCGCCGGATCCACCGGCGCTGACGCTCGACATAGAGCCCGTACTGCACACGTTGCAAACTATGATAAACTTTATGTCGAAGCCAGAAGAGCTACTAACACTGTCCATTGTTTTCATTTAGGTAGGGAACATACTGTCGACGCGAGCGCAAGAGACCGCGTCGGGGCTCTGCTCGAGTCTCAGCCCGCCGCCGGATCCGCCGGCGCTGACACTCGATATAGAGCCCGTACTGCGCACTGTGCGGACTATGAACTTCATCGAGTGCATACGTGAGTACATAACTAGTATTTATAGGATTAGCTTAGTAATTAAACACAGAAAAGTTCTGTAAGTCATTCCTGTAATGAAGCCACTTTGTCTAAAAGGAATAAGTCACTTTATGTTGATGCAATGGCATACCTACCTATAGTTATGATTTGATGCACGCATCATACACCAGCTTACTTTGAGGCTAAGTAATCAAATATGGTTGTTGGAGGATGGCAATATATTAAACTTTTGAAGACAGTGACTGTGCACAAATGCATTTGCAAAGATAACTTTTAAATAAAATGTATACAGCTTCTTTTTGGTTCTTGTTTGTCAGTTCGCCAAGCCAACAACAATACTGGTAACATCACAGTACATGATTATGAAAACAATAGACAGCTTATCTAATGAATTGTTCGCGCTATAGCCACGAAATACAAACAAAGTCATGGTTAAAATACTCTACTGTATTGTGAACACTTCGCTTTTGCGATGTTAGTCATAGATATCTGTGTATTGTCCTTTGGCACTGTTTAGTTTGCTGGGGGGTTAAATAAATTGTGTCACTAATATAATGACATTAAAAATGTATTTATTTATTTGTATTTAATGTACCGATTTATGCAAAATAAACAAATATTTTATGCTTTCTGGGAATGCAGCAATAGAGCAACAAATGAAATCATCAGGTAATATAACTAGTCCTAAGTTCATTGTTATAAAGGGGGGGGGGGTGTATAGAGGGGGGAGGGCTAGTGTATTGATATGACCTTCCGGGTGAGCGGGGCTCGTGTATAGAGAGGGGGGGCTAGTGTATAGATGGCGGTGGAGGCGTGCGCGGCTACGTGCTGGAGCTGGACGACGGACTGGGCGGGACCTTCCGGGTGAGCGGGGCTCGTGTATAGAGAGGGGGGGCTAGTGTATAGTTGGCGGTGGAGGCGTGCGCGGCTACGTGCTGGAGCTCGACGACGGGCTGGGCGGGCCCTTCCACATAGCAGCAGCGGAACCCAACAGAGTTCTAGCGGACACCACATACACTATCGCAAAAATCAACCGATCAAAATATATCAATCAGTCGCAATCGCCAAAAAATTCATCAATCTGCTTAAATTGTCTACGGAAACATAAAAAAAGCTCTACATGCCAACCACCTGGTTCTCATAAAAGTTAAATTTCCAGGAGGTGTACTGCGGACGTGAAACGGTGTGCACGATAGATGGGCTACACTACGCGTCCCTCTACAGTGCGCGCGTGAAAGCCTTCAACGGTGCCGGCGAGGGACCCTATAGCGAATTGATTGGCCTGCAGACTTCGCCTGGTATGTAAAAACAGGCTATCATAGTGCAAAAATGTGCTCTATTATGTAAGGATTAAAAGTGTATAGTGTAAGCACGTAAGCGAGCCGAATGTACCCAAATATTATCGGGTCTAATCTAATTCTTGAATTCTCAAGTGACATAATTTAACTACTAGAATAGTTATAGTCAAATTCATAGTCATAAATCTTTATTGCTTGGTACAATTGGATCTTAAATAATAATTAGAGATGGGCCGACTAGTCGCCGACTAGTCGGGAAAGCCGACTATTCGGCATCATTTGTAGTCGGCCGACTAGTGACGACTATTCGGCAAAATATGCCGATTATAATCGGCGCATCACAAAATTAAATAAGTGAATGAAATAAAACTCATAATCACCAAGATGATTAAGAGGTAGACCAAGGGCGTTTATCTAAACCACTTTTGACTGCAAAAATCAGTAAAAGTGGTTTCACCTGATTTAAAATTTTGGCAATCAGTCTAAATTCATAAAAATTTAAGATTAGTTAAAAATACCAGGAAATCATCACAATGTGTAAAGTTTATGCAATTTGTCCATATAAAAATTATGACACTTTTCGGGGGAAAATGCATGGAATTGCATACCTACCCTGCGGGGAAGTGGTAGATTATGTGGGACTCCTCTCATCGGAAGGATGAGGAATACCCACATAAATAACCCCTGAAATCCTTCAATCGCCTTAGTGTGAAGAACTATGGGAATCCGGACAAAGCCATCAACTATCACAGTCCGTCCCGGCAATTGCCCACCTGTATGGCGGGCCCTGCCTATCCGACGGTGGTGGTAGTCCGTGCAATGCAGGCGGGGGTACCGACCCCCACGACCTCAGCTCGCTGACCATAATAATCAGTGGGCCTAGGATGCGCGCCGCCGATAAGCGGTTATCAGGCCATTTTATTATTTTTTCCCATACATTTTGACGTTGATAATAATATCACGGCGCGCATCCTAGCCCAGCAGGAGGCGATCATATTGTCACCTCCCCTGATCCCTCCGCCGTTGAAAATTATGACATCTACCTTAGGTACTGTTAGGTGATGGTAATGTTGCTTTTTATTTTTTCTCATATTAAATAAATCTTATCAAGAAGTTATAATAAATTATCTCTTAAGAAATCTAGATTATTCTTATTTCTTTGAGAAATCTAGATGTTATTCTTCAGACTAGTAGGTATTAGTCGGTCGACTAATCGGCAATTTGAAAACCGATTAGTCGGCTAGTCGGTTAGTCGGCAAAGACCATAGTCGGCCCATCACTAAATAATAATGTCAAGGGAGAGCAGTCTTTACATCCGAGTCGCTAAAACTTCAACACCGCGAAACAAATCAGCACAGCGCCATCTATTAACTATCTTACGAACTAAAATATATAGAACAACATTAAGACATTGACTTGTAGCCCATTCTTACACGACTGCATACTTTTTCAGTCGCCTGGTTCACCTGGGACGCCCGATGCGGGGGTGCGGAGGGCGGGGGCGGGGTCACGCTCAGCGCAGACGGCCTCAGTGCCAAAGCGGCCGGCTGGGAGCCTCGCGTGGCCTTAGCGGACCAGCCGCTAGCCCGCGGCCTGCACTACTGGAGGTTGAGATTGGACCACTACGACGGAGACGCGGACCCGGCCTTTGGGATCGCGAGGGCTGACGTTGCTAAGGATAAAATGCTTGGTAAGTTGTTTAAATTGGTGGGGGGGTCACATTAAGCCCAGACGGCCTCAGCGCCAAAGCGGCCGGCTTGGAGCCTCGCGTGGCCTTAGCAGACCAGCCGCTAGCCCGCGGCCTGCACTACTGGAGGCTGAGATTGGACCACTACGACGGAGACGCGGACCCGGCCTTTGGGATCGCGAGGGCTGACGTTGCTAAGGATAAAATGCTTGGTGAGTTGTTTTAATAAGGGCGGGGTCACTTTAAGCGCATACGGCCTCAGCGCTAAAGCGGCTAGTTGGAAACCTCGAGTGGCCTTAGCAGATCCTAAAAGGCCGACCTTTGGGATCGCGAGGGCTGACGTTGCTAAGGATAAAATGCTGGGTAAGTTGTTTAAATTGGTGGGGGGGTCACATTAAGCCCAGACGGCCTCTGCGCCAAAGCGGCTGGCTGGGAGCCTCGCGTGGCCGTAGCGGACCAGCCGCTAGCCCGCGGCCTGCACTACTGGAGGTTGAGAGTGGACCACTACGACGGAGACGCGGACCCGGCCTTTGGGATCGCGAGGGCTGACGTTGCTAAGGATAAAATGCTTGGTGAGTTGTTTTAATAGATGGGTAGGCGTCACTTTAAGCCCATACGGCCTCAGTGCCAAAGCGGCTAGTTGGAAACCTCGAGTGGCCTTAGCGAATCCCAAAGGCCGACATTTGGGATCGCGAGGGCCGACGTTGTTAAGGATAAAATGCTTGGTGAGTTGTTTTAATAGATGGGCAGGCGTCACTTTAAGCCCATACGGCCTCAGTGCCAAAGACGACGAGGGCTGACGTTGCTAAGGATAAAATGCTGGGTAAGTTGTTTTAATAAGGGGCGGGATCACTTTAAGCCCATACGGCCCCAGTGCCAAAGACGACGAGGGCTGACGTTGCTAAGGATAAAATGCTTGGTGAGTTGCTTTAAAAGGGGCGGGGTCGCTTTAAGCGCATACGGCCTCAGTGCCAAAGCGGCTAGTTGGAAACCTCGAGTGGCCTTAGCGAATCCCAAAGGCCGACCTTTGGGATCGCGAGGGCCGACGTTGCTAAGGATAAAATGCTTGGTGAGTTGCTTTAAAAGGGGCGGGGTCACTTTAAGCACATACGGCCTCAGTGCTAATGCGGCTGGTTGGGAGCCTCGCGTGGCCTTAGCAGACCAGCCTGTAGCACGTGGTTACTAGAAGTTAAGATTGGACCACTATGCAGTAGTAGTAGTATGCAGTTCATATTGGCGAGTCACTGAGGCGGTAATCGTGTGGTTACGGTTTGGTGCAAATGTACAAAAACTGCCCATTGCAGCAACCGCGTGTGCTCTCCAGGTGGGCCAACCAGGGGGGACAACAGGACTGCACCGCGATTATCGCTGTCTAACTCTGAACCAACCGAAGTGTCTCTTTGGTGCTGCAATTACTGACGTCATTGTCCTTCTACTAGTACAGTCAGCGTCAAATAGTTTGTGACACATAAGTGCCAACAAGATGGCAACACAACCATATTCCAATTCGTCGCTTGCCTCTCTAACTGACGTAACTGACATTTAACAAAATTTTCAGGAGATTAGACAGATCGATTCGTCTTGCGAAATTGATTAAGATGGTGTAGATAACTCAGTTTCGAAAAAAATGTCAGATACGTCAGTTAGAGAGGCAAGCGACGAATTGTAACAAATACGCGTTGCGAACTTTTTGGCTACTTTGGGTGTCACGAACTGTTTGTCGCTGACTGGACTTAAATAGAAGTGTCACAGGTGAATAATTTTTCGTGTTCAGGCAGCGACGCGCTCGGCTGGGCGATGTACATCGACGGCACGCGCTCGTGGTTCGTGCACGGCGGCGCGCACGGCGGGCGCGCGGCNTATTGTCCTTCGGCGCTGCTTAGTTTGATGGGGGCTAAATAAATTGTGTCACTAATATAATAGTATTAAAAGTGTATTTATTTATTTGTATTTAATGTACCGATTTATGCAAAATAAACAAATATTTTATGCTTTCTGGGAATGCAGCAATAGAGCAACAAATGAAATCATCAGGTAATATAACTAGTCCTAAGTTCATTGAAAAAGAATATTATATGAAGTCTTATTTAATCTTTTACGCAACTCAAACATGTGTTGTGATTTAATCGTAGTAACTAGTAAATGTTGAGTAATATCTAGAAATCCTTGATGGAGCCAATTACCTAGCAATTACTGACGGGAAAGAACTGGCAATTAAATACTGCATTTCAGCTAGCCTTGGATAAGTCCTACTTGTATACCTACGTTATTATATCTAATTCTAACTTATGGAACATACTCAAAAAGAAATAAGTTTAAATGTAGTTTTTTCAATGATTATTCTAAGCATCCAAAGTTGTCATGGAAAGAGCGCCCTTTTAAACCATTTGACTTTTCCACTTCTATGATATGATTGTATAGTAACCCTTATCTTGAATTTTATTGTCTTATGTTAAGGTCCAAAAATATGAAAACTTTCTTGTTTGATTAAGACGACAAAGAATGATTTTGTATCTTTCTCTGCCGTCTTACGCTATGTTTCTACAGCGGGCCGTAAAGGCCGTTTCTACAGATGCCGGTGGAATATTCCCGTCCTAGGTATACCTCACCACGTGAATTTGGATCTTATTGCCTTTTCTTACGTGTTATTTCCGCGCAGAACCGGGCGCGCCCGAGATGGCGGTGGAATAGTCGCGTACTAGGTATACCTTCCGTAGGAGAACCAGAGTGACCGATATAGCCCGCAGAATCGCTAAAATCAAGTGGCGGGGCACATAGCTCGTAGAGCTGATGGCCGCTGGGGCAGGAAAGTTCTTGAGTGGCGACCACGAGCCGGAAGACGTGGCGTGATCAGGCCTCCCACTAGGTGGACCGACGATTTGGTAAAGGTCGCGGGAGGTGCCTGGATGCGAGCGGCGCAAGATCGGTCTTCGTGGAAATCCTTAGGGGAGGCTTTTGTCTGACAGTGGACGTCTTTCGGCTGAATCGAACGAACGAATGAAAAAGGTATACCTTACCACGTCAATTTGGACCTTATTGCCNGGGGCTAGGCTAGTGTATACAGAGATGGGGGCTAGTGTATAGATGGCGGTGGAAGCGTGTGTGGCGCGCGCCGGCCGCCGTGCGCGGCTACGTGCTCGAGCTGGACGACGGGCTGGGCGGGCCGTTCCGGGTGAGCGGGGCTTGTGTATAGAGGGGGGCTAGTGTATACAGAGGGGGGCTGGTGTATAGATGGCGGTGGAAGCGTGTGTGGCGCGTGCCCGCCGCGCCGGCCGCCGTGCGAGGCTACGTGCTGGAGCTGGACGACGGGCTGGGCGGGCCCTTCCGGGTGAGCAAAGCTAAAGCCCGGTCCGTGAGCACGTAGAATCCTTATCGCTCGCACGTAATTATATTGCTGTCGCGACTGTGCGACTGGCACCCGCAGTGAGTGTGCGAGCTCGATAGCAACATGATTACGCGCGAGCAATAAGGACGGGTAGCTTGGGGTCATTGGACAAAATTCTACGTGCTCACGAACCAGACTATAGTTTATAAAGGGGGGGGGGGAGCTGGACGACGGGCTGGGCGGGCCCTTCCGGGTGAGCGGGGCTAGTGTATACAGAGGGGCTCGTGTATAGAGAGGGGGGGCTAGTGTATAGATGGCGGTGGAGGCGTGCGCGGCTACGTGCTGGAGCTGGACGACGGGCTGGGCGGGCCGTTCCGGGTGAGCGGGGCTCGTGTGTAGAGGGGGGCTAGTGTATACAGAGGGGCTCGTGTATAGAGAGGGGGGGCTAGTGTATAGATGGCGGTGGAGGCGTGCGCGGCTACGTGCTCGAGCTGGACGACGGGCTGGGCGGGCCCTTCCGGGTGAGCGGGGCTAGTGTATACAGAGGGGCTCGTGTATAGAGAGGGGGGGCTAGTGTATAGATGGCGGTGGAGGCGTGCGCGGCTACGTGCTGGAGCTGGACGACGGGCTGGGCGGGCCGTTCCGGGTGAGCGGGGCTCGTGTGTAGAGGGGGGCTAGTGTATACAGAGGGGCTCGTGTATAGAGAGGGGGGGCTAGTGTATAGATGGCGGTGGAGGCGTGCGCGGCTACGTGCTCGAGCTGGACGACGGGCTGGGCGGGCCCTTCCGGGTGAGCGGGGCTAGTGTATAAATGGGTGGAATTTTGTAATGCCACCTGGAGGGAAAGTACTCTTAATACCGTACTTAGAAAATTTAACTCAAAGAAAACATTCCTTTATTTTTGGAAAGAAAGAAAACTGCATTCAAAGATTTTCGTAAATTTTTCAAAAATTCACCACCATACCATAAAATTTTCTGTAAATAATTCAAATAATTTAAGATTTCATGGTTTCCTTTCATTTGATTTATCAAGTTTGTTAGAGAGATTTCATCCTTATACTTAACCCTGTCGATCGATGCAATAAAAATACGGGTGTAATTTTTAACAGATTTTAGTTAGTTCGATTCCAGGGTGTGGCAAGCAATTTTTTTGAAATCTTTGAATGCAGTTCTATTTCTTTTCAAAAATAAAGGAATGATTTCTTTGAGAAACTTTTTCTATCTACAATATTAAGAGTACTTTCCCTCCAGGTGGGATTACAAAATTCCACCTTCTATTTTCGTTGCAAATTAGCACTTATTACTACTACACTAAGATTCCGCAGTATTTGTCTTGATTCTTGATTTGATGTCGCTTGTACATAGCACACAGCGGCTCTATTATGGGCGTACCCAGCTGCTGGCCTAGGGAGGGGCAAGTTAAGTAAGACTTCCAGGAGCCCCCCTCCCCTCCCTCCTGCGTACGCCTATGTTTTCAAAAACCTGCTAACCAGAAGAGTATGGTCAGGGGCTGGCCGTTATACTCTCATTGGTGTGACTCGACTGGTCTCTTCTCGTAGCACGTGCATAGGTCACCACAGTGGTAATCAATCGCTGCCATAAGCTCTGATTGTCTGATGAAACGTCTGCAAAAATGCAACCAGCAAAAGGCATGTAAAAACATATTGAGTATTGAGTATTGGGCATGTGGTTCCGGCAGAGTAGAACAGGACTACTCCTACTCTTCCCATAGATGTCCCAGTGACAAAGGAACAAGTTTCTAAACTTAATCCTCCAGAACCCGTCTGGTCAGCGTGAGGAGTATAGGCCAAACTTCGTGCAACTTTAACCCGTATTGTCATAAACACAAAGTTTAATTTCCAGGAGGTATACTGCGGACGCGAAACGGTGTGCACGATAGATGGGCTACACTACGCGTCCCTCTACAGTGCGCGCGTGAAAGCATTCAACGGTGCCGGCGAGGGACCCTATAGCGAATTGATTGGCCTGCAGACCTCGCCTGGTATGTAAAAACAGGCTATCATAGTGCAAAACTGTGCTCTATTATGCAAGGATTAAGAGTGTATAGTGTAAGCACGTAAGCGAGCTGAATGTACCCAAATATTATCGGGTCTAATCTAATTCTTGAATTCTCAAGTGACATAATTTAACTACTAGAATAGTTATAGTCATAGTCATAAATATTTATTGCTTGGTACAATTGGATCTTTAATAATAATAATGTCAATGGAGAGCAGTCTTTACATCCGAGTCGCTAAAACTTCAACACCGCGAAACAAATCAGCACAGCGCCATCTGTTAACTATCTTACGAACTAAAATAATATAGAAACAACTAATTAATAAGACATTGACTCATAGCCTAGTAGGCTTTCCGCCCGCGTGGAATTTTGTCTGTCACAGAAAAACTTTATCGCGCGCGTCCCTGTTTCAAAATCCGGAATAAAAACTATCCTATGTCCTTTACCGGGACTCAAACTATCTCCATGCCAAATTTCATTAAAATCGGTTCAGTGGTTTAGGCGTGAAAGCAAGACAGACAGACATAGTTACTTTCGCATTTTATAATATTAGTATAGATCTGTCACAACAAATACTTTTCCAGTCGCCTGGTTTACCTGGGATGCCCGATGCGGGGGTGCGGAGGGCGGGGGCGGGGTCACGCTCAGCGCAGACGGCCTCAGTGCCAAAGCGGCTGGCTGGGAGCCTCGCGTGGCCTTAGCAGACCAGCCGCTAGCCCGCGGCCTGCACTACTGGAGGCTGAGATTGGACCACTACGACGGAGACGCGGACCCGTCCTTTGGGATCGCGAGGGCTGACGTTGCTAAGGATAAAATGCTTGGTGAGTTGCTTTAAAGGGGGCGGGGTCGCTTTAAGCGCATACGGCCTCAGTGCCAAAGCGGCTAGTTGGAAACCTCGAGTGGCCTTAGCGAATCCCAAAGGCCGACCTTTGGGATCGCGAGGGCCGACGTTGCTATAAGGATAAAATGCTTGGTGAGTTGTTTTAATAGATGGGCAGGCGTCACTTTAAGCCCATACGGCCTCAGCGCCAAAGCGGCCGGCTGGGAGCCTCGCGTGGCCTTAGCGGACCAGCCGCTAGCCCGCGGCCTGCACTACTGGAGATTGAGAGTGGACCACTACGACGGAGACGCGGACCCGGCCTTTGGGATCGCGAGGGCTGACGTTGCTAAGGATAAAATGCTTGGTAAGTTGTTTTAATAAGGGCGAGGTCGCTTTAAGCACATACGACCTCAGTGGCCTTAGCAGATCCTAAAAGGCCGACCTTTGGGATCGCGAGGGCCGTCGTTGCTATAAGGATAAAATGCTTGGTGAGTTGTTTTAATAAGGGGCGGGATCACTTTAAGCCCATACGGCCTCAGTGCCAAAGCGGCTGGCTGGGAGCCTCGCGTGGCCTTAGCGGACCAGCCGCTAGCCCGCGGCCTGCACTACTGGAGGCTGAGATTGGACCACTACGACGGAGACGCGGACCCGGCCTTTGGGATCGCGAGGGCTGACGTTGCTAAGGATAAAATGCTTGGTGAGTTGGTTGAAACTTAAAGGTTCAGAAACCCGCGATAACCGCGCGATTTCTAAGTGGTTTACATTGGCGAGGCACTGAGCGGTAACCGTGTGGTTACGGCTTGATACAAATGTACGAGAACTGCCCAGCAACCGATTTATTATCGCTGTCTAACTCTGAACCAGGCCGAAGTCTCATTGGTGCTGCTATAAAATAAATGATAATCTGAGAATTACTGACGTCATATTCCTTATCTACTCTAATATTTATAGATAGTATACCTTCGGAATAGAGCAACAACCATGAGCTGCCGATTTGGGAAGACGCTGGATGTCATTTGTGTGTCAGTATTATTTTACTATTATGTACCATTAATCAATCACTGAACCACAATCATCACGTTTTTAAGCACTATTTCACGTAAGATCTGAAAAAATCTCAAAGCTCATATTTTCAGCGCGTGCACTCAGCAGTAGTAGTCAGCAGACAGTTCATTAGCACTCATTGGAGTGCGTAGTAGTTGCAAAAAAAAACGCGACGGTGAGGGCATCACGCATCTCTTTTTATCAGTGTTGCTGCTAGTGACATCTCGCTCGCTCAGTTCTTTGTTGCTCTATTCCGCTAGGTATATTAACTTTATGACTCTAACGCTAGATAGAAGTGTCACAGGTGAATAATTGTTCGTTTGTCCCGTTCAGGCAGCGACGCGCTCGGCTGGGCGATGTACATCGACGGCACGCGCTCGTGGTTCGTGCACGGCGGCGCGCACGGCGGGCGCGCGGCGGGCGGCATCGCGCGCGCCTCCACCGTCGGCGTGCTGCTGGACCTCACGCGCGGCACGCTGCGCTTCACCGTCGACGACCGGCCCCAGGTACACCCGCGCGCTGTGACGTCACACGCGGCATCGCGCGCGCCTCCACCGTCGGCGTGCTGCTGGACCTCACGCGCGGCACGCTGCGCTTCACCGTCGACGACCGGCCCCAGGTACACCCGCGCGCTATGACGTCACACGCGGCATCGCGCGCGCCTCCACCGTCGGCGTGCTGCTGGACCTCACGCGCGGCACGCTGCGCTTCACCGTCGACGACCGGCCGCAGGTACACTCGCGCGCAGTGACGTCACGCGGCGTCGCTCCTCCACACGACAGCTGTGACGTCACACAATAGCAGTGCATCCATTCGTAACTATTGTCATGCAGCAGGCAGCAGCGTCACTACAATCAGGCCAATTCTTTGCTTACTTATGGAAATGTGACATAATCTACATTTATACATTGCGAAAGGTTACTGATTGACTGACTCACTCACTCATCACGAAATCTCAGAAACCACAAGTGCTAGGAGTCTCAAATTTGGCATGGGGTTTCCTTTTAGAACGTAGGTGCTCACTAAGAACGGATTTCACGAAACTCCACCCCTAACTGGGTACAAAGGGAATTTACACGTACCAAGTCGCGGGCGACCGCTAGTTTTATCATAAAATTATAATTATGTCCAGCCGCAGTCAATCACTGCTGCACTGTTCCGTTTAACTACTAATTCAGCTTATTTTAATCAACTCAATTTTAATAATAATAATAATAAATAACTTTATTAACACACATTATGACAATACAATGGTTAAAATGAAAAGAAACAGACAAATGCATGTTAATAGGGCGCCCGCTCAGTTTTAGTTGGGACACCTTGTAGGATGTCCCAACACTGATTTTCAGCAGGAAGCCCTATCAGCTACTGCGCATCCCTACCGGCGAACCTGGTGTTAGAAGAAGAAGTAGAAAAATGAATCAATGTATTAATTTATATTTAAAAATTAGAACAGCACAGAAGGGATACGCAGCAACTATTAGTCGCGGGATACGTGGACACGAATATAAACTACCAATAACCAATACATTAAAACACAGATTTTACGTCACAGGGTGACATAGCGTTCACGGGTCTCCGCGGGGCGTTCTACCCGGCTGTCTCTCTCAACCGGGGCGTGGCGGTAACTCTGCAGCCCGGTCTGACCCCGCCTCCCGCGCTATTAGCGCTCCCGCGGGCCGAGTGACCAACACAGTCCTGCCCGGGGCCCGGCGAGACCAGGCACCGGGGCAGGTCCACCGAGAGAGAAGTCAGCCGAGAGGATGGGGCTAAGCCGCTGCGAGACCGGGGCAGATCGGCTGAGTGAGAAGTAAAAGTAATTTAAGATACACCTGTATAGATATCTAGACTAAGAGCTAGTGACCGCCAGACCTACGTTATAAAAGCTGAAAGTTTGCCAGCGTGAGTTTCCACATCAGCCAGACAGTTTTGACAGTTTCAACTCCCTGCCAGACAGATTTTTAGGATAGCTGCCAAAGCCACGATGACCCAATCTTCATGATTCACCAACATTCTATCCTATATTGGGAGCATACGCTGACAAACTTTCAGCTTTTATAAAATGACATAGGTTAGGCGTTCACCAGCTCTTATAGTCTTTTTCACGTAAGATGATTCGTATGACGTTTCGAGTTTGAAAGTTATAGAGATGTCACATAACTAAACCATAGCGATTTATCTATCGATTTTTTTTAAGAGTTAGTAAAACCTACTTTTAGATAAATATTTTGTATAGGTGTTATTTAACAAAAAACATGTTTTTTTTAATTACAAATATTATTGTAACATTTTTTATTGATAATATTCTAATTCCATAGACTTCATGTTCAAAAAAAACGATTCCTAAAAAGTACTGGTTCTATTTCTTTAAATTAAAAACTTTAATTTATTTTCAATGCGCTTATTAAAGTCAACAATCGAAAAATATAGTTGATGTTTTTAATAACTTAGTATTCACTGCAATCGATTAATGAACCGCGGAAATAATCGATTTTGTTATTCAACAAATACCCCAGCACTAAATCTATTCCGTTTCACACTTTGCGTACATTAAATAAAAAATATTTTTACATCGTATTTAATTAAAATATAATCAATAGACTCAGATTTTACCATATATTTCAAGACANACACCTGTGTAGATATCTAGACTAAGAGCTAGTGACCGCCAGACCTACGTTATAAAAGCTGAAAGTTTGCCAGCGTGAGTTTCCACATCAGCCAGACAGTTTTGACAGTTCCAACTCCCTGCCAGACAGTTTTTTTAGGATAGCTGCCAAAGCCACGATGACCCAATCTTCATGATTCACCAACATTCTATCCTATATTGGGAGCATACGCTGACAAACTTTCAGCTTTTATAAAATGACGTAGGTTAGGCGTTCACCAGCTCTTAGTCTAATCCCGATCCATCTGTTTCAACTCAAAAAACGCGCCTATACAGCTTCAAATATGTACGAGCACGATCGTACATCCTGACTGCCCCCCACCGTACTATCGGCCACACTGTTAACTATACATTTCCGTTTTTGCTCTCGCTCTCACCAAATGGTGATTCTTTGCGATAGAACGAGACGACATGACCGGCAATAGATAGTTAACGTTGTTGGCAATAGTGACATTTTCACTGTAAAGATATATTTAATGCTGACAGTACATGATTTATTGAGGCTTCTTACTGGTTTACCCGTGCACAGGTAACCTAAATATGCCACTGCCGTGGTTGATATCATTAGTGAAACTTTGTTTATTATGTTTTCATTCCATATTTTTCGATGCACGCGCATGTTATTGAAGACAATATCCTGTTTACCGTAATATGTATGAAATAAATAACTACATAGTTACGCGCTGCACGCAGGACTTTTACATTCTTGTTACAGGAAATACTTTATTTTTATTATAATCAACAACACAGAGGTTGCATTGTCAGTTGTGACTACACGTGTTAACGAAGACTCGCTACAGAGTTAATTTATTGAGAACCGATTTCTTAATGATTTTCTAAACCTTAGATGGAAATAACGAACATTGATCTTCCATATCCCAACAAAATTAATATTACTATTTATTGGTTTAGACGACTATAGTCCAAAACTAGACTACATTACCTATGAAATAACCTTGTATGTAGCCGCCCAGTAGATGATAAGTCATATGGTACTAAAATCTTAATATATTTTATTGATAAAAAGTAGGATAGGCACGTAGTATGTAAGTAAACAAGCTTTTGCGTGAACTTAATTATATTTGTATTTTTTTTAAGTTTCATGATTTGAATCAATACGATTGTGTTCATTTAATTTTTATATAAATTTAATAACTTGGCATTATTGTAAAATTGTATTGTGATCTCTTTGCGGATGAGCCTACTTGTACTTAAACAAACTGTCTTTTAACATGACATTTTAATAATTTATATTCTTTTATGTATAAATTATAATCTTTAGCATTAAGTTTTTTTATAGATGTTAAACACTGCCTTTATTTTTGACACTGTTTTGGTGCAGATAAATCTTTTATGGGTACCTGAGTTAACTTATTAAATTCCATTACCCACCAAATACATGATATAACATGGATTGTTTAAACTTCTACAAATGGTTAACACTGTAAACGCACAGGCGTGGCTGCTATTTAAACGTACATATCTAAATATTTTTGTACATTAATATTATGTGATTTTATTACTTTAGAATAAGTGTATTAAAATGGGTTGCTATTTTAGATTTGCAATTCCAAAAAATTCTTACTGTCATAATTTGCTCGATATACGGAAGAGTGGTGTAAAATGTCTTGTTACTTGTCCTGTTACTTATCATATGAAATATTCAAAAAGCTAAGCACCTACAGTACATCTACAGTTGATATGTGCTACGAAGACAATAATGACTCCGTGACGACAATTAATATGCACATTCAAACGTTTGTTAAAATTTAAAGTTACGCAACGAATGTTATGAGGAAACTGGCATTTCTCTTCATCAAACATTTTTATACAATAGTTTAATTACACTAATGTACTTACATTTATGACTGATTTGTTTAAATTAAAATTATTTCGATACGTAATATTCGTTTTTAATTTTTAAGAAACAAATTACTCCCATACCCACACTATCGTGTATATAATAAGTACCTGCACATATACCTAATAAATAAAATATAATCTATTTATTAGTACCGCTCATGAAGCACTTTCAGAATCAGTAACAAGTTTTTCGATATCTTGTCCTACTTTAAATCGAGTGAGAAATAATATAATTTGATAAAAATGTAAAATAAAATTGAAGTAACAAGTTCATTCATGCATGATTTTTACTAGTATGTACCTACAAAAGCGCGGGCAGGCCTCCCACTAGGTGGACCGACGATCTGGTGAAGGTCGCGGGAAGTACCTGGATGCAAGCGGCGCAGGACCGGTCTTTGTGGAAATCCTTGGGGGAGGCCTTTGTCCAGCAGTGGACGTCTTTCGGCTGAAACGAACGAACGATGTACCTACAAAAATTTAAGATAAACGATTTCACTCAGTTACCGGCAAAATACACAATTTGTTAACAGATCGTTTGATTATAGAATTTTTGCATTTTAATGTAACCACTCTCGTAATTCCGTCACGACCGGGGTGCTCTTCGATAATTTTAGCATACAGCCAACGAGATGGGGGAAGACCGTCCTCTTTGACCAACACAATATCTCCTATTTTTGGTTGAGGCGCTTGAGTTGACCATTTGTACCTGTGAAAGTATTGGTTTAAGTAATCTTGAGACCACTTTCGCCAAAATTCCTGAGTCATTCTTTGTGTGTATTGCCACCTTCTGAGTAAGGTTACATTTGAGGTCTCATAATTATAGTCAGGTGCCGTGACTAAAGCCTCTCCAACTAGAAAATGACCCGGAGTTAAGACGTCTAAATTTTCTGCATCCTCATTCAGTCTTGACAAAGGCCTAGAGTTTAAACATGCCTCTACTTGTGCCAGTACCGTCGCCATCTCTTCGAAGGTTAAAGTGGACGTTCCAATCACACGTTTTAAGTGGTGTTTGACGGACTTAACTCCCGCCTCCCACAATCCCCCGAAATTAGGTGCATGTGGCGGAATGAAGTGCCAGGTCGTACAATTATTGGCTAAATTTTCGGCTATTTCTGCCAAGATGCCATCCTTTTCATCCGCAAAGAGTTTTCTTATTTCCGTGGCGGCCCCTACAAAGTTGGTACCGTTGTCGCTCCACTTGAAACAGCTCCAGGGGTGGGATTATGGGGAGAAGGGGGGGGGGGTTACAAATCAAAATTTTATGGGTACGAAGGGCGGGGGGTAAGTACGTCCCCCCACATTTCTAATGGTTATATAAATATTTTCACATATCGCTAGAAATAACAAATCAACATTTTATGGGTACGAAATCAAAATATTATACTAGACACATTATTTCTTATGAATATTTCAGGTAAGTAATATCGTCAATTTCGTATTAAATAAATTATGTATTAACTTACTGTCAAAAGACCAAAGTTTAGCATACAAAAGCTTTCATACTGATATCATGCTTGGTTATTTTTAAATAAAATGTTAAAGTCGTAAGAGCCTTAATATACCGAAGTAGGGGGCACTTACCTTACCCCAGCAAAATCTGTTTTTTCTTAATAACTTTAAAACTATAATTTGAACGAATTTTGCTATTAGGTAGTGGACAAATTTCTGCTCACGATGGACTAATTATATCTGCTATACTCTCGACTCTCTAAAGCACAACATTTATAAAAATTTTGCTGCGGTAATGCACTCTACAGAATCAATCGACATTTTTCACTAGGTACCTAGTCATTTTTTTTAAAAACTATGGTTGTTTGATAAATTAAACACCGTAAGATAGGAGTTCCGATCCGGAGATCCTAATACCACAGATAATATAATACTAGTCCCTTAGCAAACCAATTTATAGGCCAAGAGCTCGCATTCGAAGTGTTTATTATTCAGCCTACAAAAGATTAGGGATACCATGTTGAAGTCAGGATATTTGGGACAATATTTACGCTGGGTTGCACCATCTTACTTTAACTTTGACAAACTTCAAAAATCTTTCAAACTCCATACAAAATCCCCCGATTATCGTTATAGTTACGGTCAAAATTTGAATGGTTCCGCCGACAGAGTAGAAAAATAGATAGGGTCGTGTTTCTTCAATGAAAACTAAATAAATTACCATGACGACGCTATGATATTAGTTAGGTAGGTAGGTACTTAATTTAGTTGAGAAAAAGTTAATAAAACTAGTCTCAATCTCAATGCCTGTCAGGACAGATAATTTAAACTGATGAAAATTTTGATTGACCAGTATATGACTGTCAATTATGGTGGCATATTTGGTGTAATAAGGAAGGATTACAGACACTTTTCAAAGAGTTCGCCTCTAAGC